TACGGCTTCCTCCAATAGCGCACATTGAACTCCGACAAGATAAATTGATAACCAGCAGCGCTTGCCTCTAATTTGACGCCTGCAGAATAGTTGGAATATTTCGCTTCATTCATCGTGGAATATCAAGAAACATTAGTTTCACACGAGTCGCTATGATTTTGCCCTCAGCCAAGAAACACTAGAACTGAAAACGAATAGTGAACTACAAACAATTAAACAGAGTATACAGAAAAGAATGGTGCGGTTTCAAAAGTTAATAAAAAAATTATTTCTCACCTTACACGGGCACAACATACACATGCACATACAGAAATAATTTTTATTAACTTTTGAAACCGCACCATTCTTTTGTGTATACCCTGTATAGCTGGTACCGCGGATAAGTTAGGAAATTTGCTGGCTACTAAAGTTACGGGACAACCCGATGCCTGTAAGGCTCTTCAACTGCGTGTACATTCGATGTACAAAAGGATTATCGTGAATAGGCTCTAGATAAAAACGAAATGCGTGAATTTTGAAAGAATTTTTTACATCGAGGATTTATAAATTAATGAGTGCGTTATTAATGCGAGGCCACGACTTACGCCAGTAAATACGTAGCTTTAAATACAGCTAACAAACCCCTCTATACAACAGTACATACCTTCTTTATGTTCAGTGTTGATACTTAAGTTCAATGATCATTATCACTCGCAGTATTACAGAAGGTTTTATAAAAATATATTTTATCCGAACCACGAAGAACAAACGATGTTTTCCGCTTTCATTCACTCCACATACTGGCAGGCATCTTATGTTCCTGGTGCACCTACAGTTTACTAGAAAGCAAGGAACCCCCCCCCCCATGCAACTCTTACTCACCAACCCACTTTTCCCCCTACATGGCGTTTTAATTGACAGCATAAAATTACCCTAATTTATTATAAATTTCTGCAAGACCGGAACCCATTACATTTCCGAACATTTAGGGAGAATTGTGAAATGTAAATGAATGCAATACATAACAATAAGAACGAATTCTATTGGTTAAAAGTTGCAATTACAAGTGTGACTTAGCGTTTTCATTTAAACTTAAGAACGATAACTTTTAACACAAACAAACGCTTCGATCCGATTACGCACTTGATCAATATGAAAACAGCTGAGCCAACAAAACGACTCGAAAACAACAAAAACATTTCCGGTATGAGAGGGATTTATTTGCGCCGGCTACAGAACAACGCCACATTAAACTGAAAAATTAGCATTAAATTGCGAATTCTAGCTTACCCAAGACCCATCTTTACGTTCCCCGAAGTTCGAGTAATCATTTGACCGATACCCGTGCAAAATAAATCAGAATTAAGGTCCCAATAAAACTGAACCCCTGTTTCGATACTAACAAATATTGCAATTCGTAAAGCTGCAAAGACATCACTACAATCACACCATTTTTAAGTGTTTGAAACCACACTGCAGTTTCCATTAATAAAAAATCCTGTATTAAATTGGCTCATTTGACGTAGACTTTACTCCATCTTCGAAATAAAACTCACAGACTTCTAACAAGTTCTTTCGATTATATCCATCAACTTCAAAACAAGATAAAAAACAAGCTCTAATAAATTTACATAAAACGTTAATATTAAGCTGTGAACGTGCGTGTTCCCTGTATGGGCGTTTCTAAAATCAAAACGTTCTGATACAGAATTGCTTCCTTGTGATTACGATCCTGTTTTACCAGCTATGTCAAAAACTCACAGAAGTGCTCGTAAACTACGAATTCTTTAATAACGATTATGAAAACGCCTGTATAATCCTGTCAACCAGAGTTCTCCATTATAATCATCTGGATTTAAACTCCCTGTGAACCAGACTTCGGGGCTGTCCTTAAGGAAAGCTGCCCATCATGGGCCACCGTGTGAACCGAAAGTCGTATACGACCGAAAATAAACTTTTACCACCATAGCGTCCCAAAATGTTCGATTTGTCCACAAAATCGAGCTTGCCACTCTTACATGCTTTCTAAATGAAACATTGTATTTCTATTTACTGAAACGGCTTTCTAGGACAGCTCCAAAGCCATCAAATTGGTGGAATTAGTTTCCACAAATGTTCGCATTTCGAAGCGCCTGAAATCGAAACCTGGCCATTTGAATTATGTTACCCTGATAGGTCTTTCTTCTGTTGAAAAATGCCGACTTTTTTAAGGTTTATTTTCTTAAAGTGTTATTTTCCTTCTCACCGGAGAAGACCGGATTCGCGCCCAGGCCAGTCCAAGTGGTACTTGTGGTGGACCTCTGAGTCCTTTGGTTTCCTCTGTCAACATCATTCAACTGTTGCTCTCTACTCACTCATACATCAACCGAAAGACGGAAAAATGGTTCCTTGGAGGCCCAGTTCTACAGAGACAAAGGCTCACCGCATCGCAATAATAAAAAGGTTTTATTTTTGTAAGCAGAAAACATTTCTTTTGCGGAAGACTACATACATCCTGACCGCCCGGACTCCCACTATTATCTATGTAGAAGTGAGACTGTACTATAATCGAGCGTCATACCGACAACTGTACTTGAAGCGCTGGAAGTTTTGCTTCTGGTTTATGAAACAAAGCATGCAAGAATCCACACAAACATACAAAAAGGTTATATTTCTAGAGGCTACAACCATGGGCCGGGAAACCTGTCGTTGAATGATGTGCTGTATTACCAACACATATTTCTGTTGAGGAACACTTCACAGAAAATGGAAGAGACAACATTCCTTTGTCTGAAACCAATTCGCTGTCTTTTGGTTGTAGCGCTGTGCAGTCTGGGGGACGTTTACCTACGTTCCATCATTAGTGCAGTTAAAGCCCTGATGATGGAGGCAACAAGGGCCTCTGAAACGTTAGTAAACTCCAGAAAACCTCAAATCATACTAATTTTGAAACATCTTTATCAACGAAAGTAGTGCTACGCAACTCTCTAAACCAATTAGTTCGCGAGGTGAACATACTAAAACACAACTGCGGATATAAATCGCCATGTGCTCTCAAAAAGTCAATATGTTGTGTAGCAACCAGACGGAAATACATGGAGTTCACTAAGCGAAATATCTTTACATGCCATTATCTCAAAATGTTGGCCAGTTAAATCTTAAGCAGAAACAATCGATTAACAGTAAATAGCACAATTCTGAAACAACACAAACGAGAATGAAGCACGTTCATACATTAAACATTGCTATTTATCAATAATAAGGTGGAAACACCGCACTTTTTCCGATCAGCATTCAATACGACACAGAAAAATGATTCAATAATTGTAATGTAAAGCTGTCCCGCTTTACGCCATGTAGGTCCTTGGGGTGAAAGGTGATATAGCTCCCCTCTTTCTTGACCTCGGCACTAGATGGGGTGAGTGGTCAGCATCACGCCCCGGCCGGCTTTACCCCCGGGAAAGGACCCCGGTACCCTTTGGATAGGAAGCAGGGTCCAATAATTGTAACAAATGCAAATCAAATATGACGAAACTGCATTTACTTTCACCAAAGGGCATTGCTGTGTTGGTATAAATTGAACTTTCGTTCCGAAAATTATACACACTGACTTAATACACGACTATTTGACTTGCACATTTTACTTGGTAAATATTTAATTTAAAATTTAAATACCTTTTCCATTGCCAGTGTTATGGGGGAGAAAACAAAATGGCCTCCACGGATCAAGCGGGAAAACTACCTTCTTGTACTTCGTAATTGATGCGTACAGAATACACTCTCTTCACACTGGAAAACAAGCAATAAC